AGAGCTAGATGTCAGACGTTATGTCTATTCAGGTGTCCCAAAAACTGCATTTGTCGTTTCCTGATTGTTTTTAACATTGAGCGTCCCACGTGGGCTTCATCAAGCACTACCTCATTTGATTTCTTTTCCTTCCACGATACTCTTAGCAGTCTCCTAAGAAACCACAATTCTGTTGCTTCTATTTTATCTTCACTGTCTTTAGTGATTGTCCAGCATTCACAGCCACATAGAAGGGTTGACCAAACATAGCATTTCAGGACTTTCATTTTGGTGTTCATTGAGATGTTTCTATTTTTCAGGATTGGGCTCATTTTATTGAAAACCAACTACATTTAAAAAATACAAACTGCAGTCGAACTTGCTCTAACGGCCACCTGTGTGAGACAGTCACCTGTACATACAACCACTTCCGATTTTCCTCCTTGCTTTTTTTATCACACCGTAATGACACTGTGTAAGATGTCCACCTGTCTAAAACAACCATTTTTTCTCCTCGACAATTGTGGTCGCCTTATACAAGTTCGGCTGTTCTACAACTACTACTAACACTCACACAGTGGCGTCGTGAGATTACATGTTCGGGGGTTCGAGCCTCAGCTCATTCTGATGTTGAGTCCTTGGAGAAGCAGACACTCTACACGAATTTCCCATTTGGCTCGGTCCTTTCGGAGATGTACTAAAATAAATAACCTAATAATAGTATTGGTAAGGGAAATAAACTTGTTCTATTTCACCATTTTTAACACACGTGCACAAATTGTTTTCTTCCACAGAGGCGTTCCCCGGACAGGTTCAACAACAAGTTCCGTGAGTACGTTCCAGAGTATGGCACTCACCTGCCCCGGGCTCCAGCCTTCAGGAGTGTGTCACCTCAGGTGAAATAAAGGAATAAAAATAAATAATGAATTTGTTATTGATCTCAGAAGGGCAATTTGGTTTACAATGGCAAACATAATATTTTAATATACTTGCGTAAATACATGATTATATATACATACATACATAAATACACAATAAATACCTACACAAATACACAATATTACTCCAATAAAAAATAATTTCACAACCATGCCATTGCTCGTCCTCACAGTGCAGCGCCCTGTGTGATTTTTTTAGTTAGAGTTGTCGTGTCTTGCTCAAGGACACACCCCAGTGACCACCCATCTGATCTGCGTGTCACCGACACTTGCTTGACTTTACTCTTGAACCTAAACTCATTACTCACTTCGCCACTGAGTTATGGGGCTTTTAATTCGGTTAAAGTTACGTCAACGTGAGGGAGACAGAACAACAGAAAGAAAATGCTGAGAATGAAATGTAAGGGAAAGAAGGTCATCATCATCATCATCATCATAATAATAATAATAATAATAATAATAATAATAATAATAATAATAATAATAATAATAATAATAATAATAATAGTAATAATAATACGAGCATGTGGGACACAATAAGTTGGTTGATTTCACGTGCATTTAGGGCACGGCTTAGTTTTTACTTTGCGAGTCGAAATGGTTGGAAGACCGGGATTTACAAACTCTACTTTTTTTTTTAAATGAAGTATGTTTTGGTTTAATTATTAATTGGTATCTTTTTGTATTTAAAAACATAATAATAGCTCTACATGCGCTATTTTGTGCACAACTACATTTTAATCCAAAGTGTCTGATAGTTTGATGCCCTGAAAAACAGTGAGAACAAACATAAGATGCTATTTCCAGAGGTCTTAGTCACCCCAGAGTAGGGATTACTAACACCATGCTGTTTTATAAGAGAGATTTTATAGGGTGGTATTTGTCACCCCATGACAGGCTGACTAAGACCCCCCCCCCCCCCCCCCCCCGGGCGGTGACACTGACTGAAGTGTCTTTGTGTCTTTAGGCCATTCCCAAAGGGGGAGGGGGACATTTCTCGTTCTAGTGCAGAGTTGAATTGTAAATGGGCTGATCTAACAATGTCATGCTCATAACTGTGCCTGGGAACCGCTGCTTTTTCTTCCCTAATCCTTAGTATCGCCATTTTTCTCTACTTCTTTTGTATGTTTGTCACACTCTTGTGACCCGCAATTCCCGGGATGGCTTGATAGTCGAAGCAGACTGGACTGCTGAAGCTAGAGAGGTGAGCAGAGTAAGTCTGATTCCCTGTAAATACTTATCTGTTGACATCCACCCTTTAGCGCTCATATGACCTTACGCAGTTGCGAGTGTCGTAAAACATCTTCTAAAACAAACAAACAAACCCCCAAAACACCCTATATGTATAGAAATAGCAGATTGTACCTCTTGAAAACTAAGCATTTGACGAACACTATCAGACCCTCTCATCGAAAACAAAATCCTTTGGTTTACAATGATTTATTTTCAACTGACACCAATAGCTAGTACAAAAGACGGTCATTGTCACCCAGGTCCCCGGTATAGACATAGGTGCTGTGGTGGGAGATTCACGGTCCTCTCAACTCAGTGTAATATACAGTGGATATTGTAAAATTTCTTTTTCCATGTGGTTTGACACACAAACACACACACACACACACTCACACACACACACACACACACACACACACACACGCACACACACATACAATACACACAAACACACACGTACGAGCGTGCGTACGCACACAATATGTCTAATTATCTATCTCTCTCCTTCTCTTTCTCTCTTTTTCTCTCTTTCTCTCTCTCTTTCTCGTTCTCGTTCTTTCTCTCTTTCTCTCTCTCTCTCTCTCTCTCTCTCTCTCTCTCTCTCTCTCTCTCTCTCTTCAGCACTTTATATAAATTATGCATTATGAAATATACGAGGGCCATTCAATGATATGTGTATAGCTTTCTGTGATAAGAATTTTTTTATAGTAGACGGTTTTACGGCGCTCACAACTGCATAAGGTCATATGAGCGCCAAGGGGTGGATGTCCACAGAGAAGTCCTTACAGGGAATCAGACTTATTCTGCTCACCTCTCCAGCTTCAACAGCACAAGGTCTGCTTCGACTATCAAGAAACCCCAAAAACAGCAGGTCACAAGAGAGTGACAAACATACAAAAGAAGTAGAGGAAAATGACAATAGTAGGGATTAGGACAGAAAAAGCAGCAGTTCCCTGTTGCAGATCAGGCACAGTTATGAGCGTGACATGAATCAGCCCATTTACAATTCTACTGTTCTTGAACGAGAAATGTACCCCCCTTTGGGAATGGCCTAAAGACACTACAGTCAGTGGCACTACCCCGGGGGGGGG